GTCCCCGGTGGTAATCCGCTTGCTATAAATGCCCCAAACCTTGGTGTATGGTTTCAAAACAAGGCTGGATTATCACCACATACAATTAAGCTGCCATGTTTTCACATTGCATTGTCTGAGCTGGGTGGGTTGGTCACAGGGGTAATCCTAGGATGTCATTAGAATGCCAAATGAACATTGAATTCAAATAAACTCATCTGAATCCAAAGATGAAGAAGAAACACTGACAATATTGTGCATTTACCACCTGCATGCAAGTATGGTATCACTTCTATCATAGTGTGTAATTCTGGTCGCTGAATTAGTTGACAGGACCTCTGTAGTGTTTTGCTTCACCGAATGCAGGTTTTATTTTGGGCATCCTTTGAACAGTACCTGCCTGCCATCCGACAGTTACACGATGTATAGGTTTTGAGCAGGACCACAAGAGGGTGCTATTTTCTAAGCTCCTTTGGTCAGATATGCACTTCACTGGTTCACAAACGACTAGGAAATGCATGCATTGCAGTCGCAACGTTACCAACAAAATAAAAACTCAAGACGCTTCTTTTGATCTGATGAGGGGGTGCTTGTGCTTGACGCAGATTAGGAAAGGAATCATGGCCAAATAGCCTGCCAATACGTACCTGACGCTTCTCCATTATGAGCTGGTCCAGTTTCTTCTGGTTGTCATTGATGCGTTGAATGATGTCCAGACCGGACTCTGTCTGTTTCTGCCGAGAGAGAAAGGGGTAAGGACCACAAAAAGAGATGGAGCTAAGAATCTCAATAAACTGACAGCTAAAAACTCTCAGTTTTTTGGCTGCATTACGTAGGCAATGCGCTCATGCATTCCAATTGCACGGACACAAAAATCGACTCTGTTAACATAACACATGTGTGAAATCACTCCAGGGGCAATTTTGACGGATGCCTTGTTGGGGCCTAAAATTAGCCCACCATTTCACATGAAAGCCTGAAATCAGGTTATTGCCTGAACGCTTCCATCCTTGTAGCTAGAGCCAACGGAAAGTAAAAATTACATACAAAACAATACATGCTTTAGTATGTACGTGCAACTCATCTGTGAAATACTTGGTTAACTACAGGTTGAAAGTGTTTGCAGTGGGTAATGAAAGGTGATGATGTATTACCTTGGGTGTTTGACTGCGTTGAGCGCTTGATGAGCCTGGCTCCTCCCAATCTGCCCTGGTCTGAACCTCACCAGCTCGCACTTTGGCAAGAACAGAATTGGCAATGTTATCCCCTTGAAAGCAGGGAGAGAAAAAAAGGAGTCAAGTTTTGCTATCTCACTCAAAGCAATCAATATTTGAAGAGCATGCAGCCCAGATATCTTGAGAAAGCTGATCCCCACTAACATTATCTTGCTCTATGGCCAATCATGTTCCTTCCCATTGTAAAGCAATGAGGCGACTGTACCTCTTTCCAGTCTGTTATCACTTTTTTTATTGTCTGCAAAGAGCTGCCTCCTTGGTGATTCCTTTGTTTTCCTGAGCCCAACCAAAGAGGGTGCTCTTTCAAAAGACTGTCTTGTTGGAGCTGCGCTGCCCTGCTTTGCCTCCTGGGGGCTGTTCCTGGTCTCTCTCACAGGAAACAGGTCGTGGTCCCTGGGCTTAATGGCCTTGGCCAGGCTCTGACGGGCAAGCTGCTTTGGAGAGCTGTGGGCCAGGGCAGCACCAACCTTCGACGGCCCAGGTGCGGTGGGTGAGCGCCCGGTGGACTTTACGCCCGACGCCGGCCAGATGTGGATGCTGGAATCCTGGGTTAATGGGCTGCTTTCAAGTGTCGCTTTCACTTTCTTGCTGCCATGGGAATGACCACCAGAATTGTTGGTACTGCGGTTGTGGTGATGCATATTTGGTCCCTCCGGTCTGTCTGGTCTATCGGCTAAACGTGTCCCATTCAGACCTTTCAGCGTCAGTCCTTTACCACCGGCCGCATTCCTGGTCTCCTCTGCTTTCCACACTTCAAACTGGCGTGCCGCTTTCATCATGGGCGATAGGGGGCGTTCTTCATCTGTATCAGTGTCAAAGGGCACTCCCAGGTCACTGTGGTGAGTGGGAGCTGCCAAGTTGTCTCTGTTGTCTTCAGGTTGTGTCAAACTGCTGAGGAAAGAAAATTTAACAACCTCTCAGATTGTCAGAAAGTGTAAAGTCACTATCAATGTGGGTACTAGCTCTGCTACAACCTCCAGACCACTGTAATATCCACCATATGAGAATACCCTATACGTTTCTGCTGTGCTCATCTTGAAGTGAAAATACATGTAGTAAGGTCTTGGCACGTGCAAGCACAACTGGAATGCCAAAAATGGATTACTTTTTCCCCTTTTGGGATGTCAGCTTGGTGCGGTTAAGGTTCAGTTCCCGGCCTGGTCCACATGTGGATTGAGTTTTCAGTTCCTACCTGATTCCGTGGGTTTAACCGAGAATATTCTTTGGGGATTTTCTTCCCAACTCTAAACCTGTAACTGCTTTTCACTGCCTTTTCTCCACTAAATCCTTTAGGCTCTCAAGCTGAAGTATCCTGGGCACTTTTGAAGAGTCCTTGGTTTCGCTCCCAAAAATGCCAAATAATATGTCTTTCGCAAATTAAATTTGATTAAATCTAGTACACTTAGTTATCTGATTGCACATAAATATAACAATTTGAATTCCCCAGACTAAAGACACTGTTGCTGTACCTCGCGATTTGAGGCAAGCTTTTGCATAGCGACCACCATCTCTGGAATGGACTGGTTCCTTTGTGCCCTTCTTATCCATTGAAAACAGTGTACATGTATTGTGCAAGGCGTCTCTTATGCAACTAAGCAAAATCTTGCCCCAAATCACGAGATACCTTAACAGTGTCTTTGGTATTTACAGTTCAAACCGTTATGTTCACTTGAAATTAAAGAACTCAGAGTACCAGATTTTATTCAAATTTAACTCTCAAAAGGCTTATTGATAATAACCTTTCCGTGTCTGACATGATTTGAAGGCTCTCACTACCACTCAGTGACCCTTGGAGCTTCTCTCCAGTCAGGATGTTGTAATCGGCACTGGGTCTCAGGAACTTTCTTTCCTCCACCGAGCGGGCTACGGCTGATGAATCCTGTGCGTTCCTGGTATCCTTTGCAGTCCCTGAGGTGCCATGGTGGCCGTCCTGTGGGTGGCTGTCTAGTGCTCTCAAGGTGGCAGGCGCAGCGTTGGGTGTGGCACCTGGACTGGTTCTGGATCTCAAACTGGTTCCACTATTGGCAGGTTAGATAACGTATGGTACTAGTTAATACACTGACCACAGGGCCAAAAGAAGAGAAAAAAAATTCTAGAGAGTAATTCGGCAAACCAGAATCAGAAGACAAACTGTAGTGTGCATTACATGGCTCTCCTCCAATGGGGTATAGTGAATTGCACAATACAGGTGTGCCTCAAGCTTCAGAACAAATGCAGTGTCACAGCCATTATGGCGTCTCCTTGGACAAGTCTCTCAAGAAAACAACACACCGAACGCTTACTTTTGTGAAAATTTGTAAGCTGTTACATCTTACGATAATTATGGGTCTACACCCCAGTTTGGCTGAGGAAAGGGTAAGTTTTTAACACACGGAAGACGACTGGACAAGCTGCAAGAGTTTGGAAAGCAGGACTGTGGGGTTAAGACTGCCACTGGCTACTGCAGCCTCTTGAAGGAAAAGCCATACACATGACTGATTGGAGTCTGGAAACACAGCCATTTTCTCCTGTTGGACTGCTATAATTTTAGACTCATTCACCCACCATGAAAAACTTGATAGCATCTTTCTGCCTCAAGCCAGGAGTCTATAAACAATGAAATTTTAGGGTTTTTAACTGGCATAATGTCAAAACAGATAAACAATTTTCTCACCTCAATGACTCAGGCAGACTTTGTCTCTTAAGTATTGAGCTTTCCAAATCTATCCGTCTCACCTCAAACTCAAGGAGTGACACTTTTCTTTAATAACAAAGTAACAAGAACATTACTGAATACAGAAAATGAACAGATTTTCTTCAAACTGCACCTTTGAAGAGGAAGCAAAATTGGAAAAACTGTAATTTGAATTTGTAGCTTGATTTCAGCCTTATACAGGGAGAACATAAACACTGCAGGGACGTGAGTAAAGTATTTAATCCAAGTTAATTTCTGAAATAGTCCACAAAATGTTGAGGCACAGTTCAAGTCAAAATACAAATCTAACAAAGCGTTTAATTACAAGTCAATTTTCAACTTTGACGTCCTCTCGGCAACTAATCCTATTCTATATCTGACGTCTAACTCATCAAAATGTACTTTCCTCTTTGATACTTTTATAGGTTCATTACCTAGTGGATGTGCGGACTGGTTAGCTACAGAAAGAGAAGACCTGCCCAGACTCAGAAGAGTTTTTACAATTGAAATGAAACACTTCCAGTGCAAATGCACGTAAAGTTTTGACCGCAAGCATGTGGCTATGGGTGTTATTTACGTACACGGCACAAAACACTGCTTTGAGTGGCGAAGCCAATTTGTCTTCTGTGCTCCATTCAGCGTTCCATTTTACTACTTGCTAATCAACTCACAATTACCTGGTCAATTCTGCAATCTTTGCTTTGGACTCGTAGAGCTGTGTTTCTGTATCGTGAAGTAATTCCTGGGTTATCTCATGCTTCTCGGCCAGGGACTTGTATTCAGTCAAGACCTTCAAGAGACAAAAATAGAAAGGGGTTTTTTATTGGTTCATTTTTCTTGGATAATATTTCATTTCAAATAGGACCAACTACTCCTAAGACCGAAAGAATAGTGTTCCACCCTGAACTTTGTTTCTGATGTTCAGAGTTGATGTTAACATTCTGAGATCTGAGGAATAACACCACGCTGTCAAATGTTTGTGTCTTTACATGTCAAATTAAAAGTTCAACAAAGCAGTTAATAAACCCTGAAGGAAATTTTGCCATGAGACCCTTCTGAACGCAACCTTCATCTAACAGCAGTTCTAAAAATCAATTAACAGAAGGTTTACTCACCCTTTTAAGGATTTTTTGGTCACGGTGTTCATCCATTGCTTGAACATCTTGAAGCTGTTGAAGTAAATGAAGGGAAAATGCATTTTGCATGAAAAAGATCTATGAATTAAATCTGTAGCGATGTTTCTGTGTAAACAAGTATACAAAATCACCAAAAGAATTGTGAAATTTAGTCATAGCTACAAATAAAATTTAAAAAGGGCTTTCAACTTACCTAAGTATTTACACTGGTCTATGAAACACTGGATTTCAACTACGTAAACCCATATCCTGGTTTACGATATTTATAAAATGACCTAAGGCAAACTAATGACAACCAAGCAAGCAGAAAATAGTTACTGAGAAGATCTATTTGTCAAAAGCCTGACAGCTGTACAGCATAAAGTATATGACCTCATCAAACTGTCTGCTGCCCTCACCTGGTAGGCCTGATCCAGTGACACCTGCAGCTCCCTGTTTCTCTTCTCCAGTGACTGGACGTCCAGCTCCTTATGTCGGCACAGCTGCTTGAGGTCGTCAACCTTCTGCTTCAAAGTAGCCACGGAGGAGTCTGTGCTGCTATAGGTTTCACCCTGGTGCACAAAACATAACTTGTGAATGAGCATAATCAGTTTACAAAACATTTTTGCGAACTGAGTCAGGTAGAACTAATCCTTTGTACTGGGGCCAATTTCATAGCACTGCTTAAGCGAACAAATTATTTCAGCATGAAAACCTTGCTTGACAAATCAGGTTACCAGCCAAACCTTCTTGTAATGTATGTAAGCTGATAACCATTGTTTATTAAGCAAAGGTTTTTTCATGCTTAAGCAAATTCTATGCATAAGCAGCTCTATGAAATTGGCCCCTGCTGTTCATAAGGCTTGATACATTCTAATGCAGCTTGTGTCACCTTTAACTTACCAGTCTTGTTTCCAGAGCTTGTACAGTATTTTCCAGGTCTTTAATTCGACTGAAATGTGTAAAAAAATGAGAACAGTTATCAGTTGGTAACAACTACCAACCATGCATGTACTTATTACTGATTTTTTGGCTGATGATACTGCTAACAAAAATGTGACACACACTGGGTACCTTTGTTTGCAATCTGAGAGAAATGAGCTGTGAGAAGACTGACGACTTTACTGGCATACCTATTGGCCGATTTCAGGGCTGCCTCCTGCTTGATGCAGTTGTCCTCAAGCCTCTGATTGGTTCGTCTCATGACCTTGTCGGGGGAGTGGTCTTGGAGGGAGGCAGCCTCTGTCAGCTGGTTTTGCAATTCCTGGATCTCCGTCTCATAGTAGGCTTTCAAGTCGGCAATGTGGCGGGCATGCTTCTCCCGTAAATTCAATCTCAAGCTAGACAGGGGAGAAAAGATGCTGGGGGATTGAATACCTAATTGAAAGAAGAGCCCAACTCCAACAAAACCATTTTTTAGTTCAAAAGAAACAACTGAATATGTTTTGAAGAGTTGCAAAGGAAATCAATTAACTCTCCTAGGCCAAACTGGTGGAGTTGGCCTTTCTTTATAATGTGGCATTCAATTTTTCTCTGTTAAACAGTTTTTAAATATGGTTTTGAAACCATGTGACATTTATCACAGTGGATTTTTCACTCCTGAAAATTTTAACAAAGAGCAACACGATGTCACACTACTTTGGTTTTTTGATATTTTGTAACAACTAATGGCTCTCTGCTTCTTTCTAGGGCCTGAAGTCTGGATCAAAAGCATAAATAAACCCAAGCCACGATACAGTTAATATGCAATGAAGACAGCTGACTGTTGATAATTTGTGAGAAGAGTTGGTGTTCTCTAGGTATCTTGGTCCAGTGGGCATTAGCTTAAATATTGCTGGTGTCAAAGCTCTCTTTCACCACATCCAGCATGACAAATTACTTTTAAAAAGACCTCACAGAGGTCTCTGTTTCAAACAAAAATTTTGTGGACTGTTCCAGATCACTTGGCAAATTTGCATTTTCATCAAAACTCGATCCAAACCCATGCACACAGCAATAAGAAATTCGGATGTGTCAACACTTTGCTTCAGCTGAGCAGAATTTTTCTGCACATTTGCCTCGGTACCTTGATGTAAGCTGTGCATCGTCTCCCTGCTCTCTGTTATCTCCAGGACGCTGAGGAGATGAACTCTGACCTGATGCATGGGGTGACCTTTGCCCGGGACCACTGGCCAACCACGGGACAGCAAGTTCAGGAGATCCTTGAGGACCAGGGTTTGGAGATCTACCTTCACTAGAATGCCAGCTATCGTTTCCCACAGACAATTCTGGCGAGTGCTGATGGTATAACCTTCGACCCTGCACAGTTCCTGGAACTTGACCTCCCTGGTCAAACCCAACAGTTGCGTGGGGAAAATGGGGTTTTTACTTTCAATGCTTTACCCAAGTTCTCCACAATGTTTTTTGGCAGTCTTCTGTACTACTTTTGCCAGTGATCAAAAAAACTGTTAACAGTTGTAAAATATTTCATTAAGAAAAAAAGAACAACTGAAAAAGCAACTAAAGTTACATTTTGAAAATGTTAAAATGTCTGTCAAAAAGCACAATTTCTTTATAGGAAGTGATTCTTAAATAGTGACATATCATGCAAAACCAGAGACTCAAAAGGGTTTTATATTTCACCTTCTTCCTAATTCTAGAAAATAACTGACTCTGTCCTGTCTAAATTGGCTTTCTACGTTTGCCGAAACCCTTCTTTCTGGACAAGTCCAGAAGTTGCGGCTACAACTGGAAATAACACATGTGCCTATGGAAACCACTGGCAAGTGGCTGTGGCTAAATCCAATTGACATAAGTGTAATATGCAGCCCTAGCCACTACATTCACACACTATTTCTCCTTGCAGTGGTACAAGTAGAGCCCAAAGAATGTGTCTGGTACCTGTCCTCCTGCAGCATCTTCTATTGACATGTCAGGCAGAGCTCTGTAGGTATCCTTCTCAGCCTGCTTCCAGTAAGTGAAGTCAGAATACACGGTGCTGGTGTCGTCTGAGGTAGGGCTTCCCCTGTCTTTGTCTGAGGGTTAGGCCAGAGATTTTGAAAGTACACAACTGATACTCGAAAGCTGACTTAACCACCAATGCAAGTGCTTGTAAAGTACAGAAAAACATTATACATATGCAATCTGAATGCCACGAGAACAAGGGCTGAGTAGAGAAGAAAGTAGGTAAACTGTGTCAAAAACTAAATCTTCAATTTTACAAATTGACTGGATTTTGCAAAAGCTTTCTCTTGATCTAAACACTCATATTTTTCATGTGTATCAAATTTTTAGGCACAATTACATGAATGAAAATGACAGCAGGCAACCATTACCGGCCATTTTCTCAGAACGTGTGAATACTCATTATCAAAATATGTGCCCTCAACTCTGCCTGAAACCAAATCCACTACATTTGAAGCTAAGATTTAAGCAGGCTTCTACAAATTCTGTGACTGACTTTCAATGGTATTAATCTGCTGGATGCAAATGGAATTGACAAAGCATATTTGAAATAAAGGCTCCACACTCCCTTCTTGTGACAAACCTGGAAATGCAATTTTCTCAGAAGGTGTGAATATGTCACAGTGCTTTTGTGCCTTTCTGCTAGAAGCTAATAATCACAGGGTGCTAAGCATCAAGTTTGAAGCAGGTTGTCGTAGGCTCTCATCAGTTTATTCGTTTACATGCTGTGAAGTGACTGATCAACGATGCCAGTAATCCACTAGATGCAAATGGACGGGACACCCCAAGCCAAGGATCTAATATAAACCTGCCAAACTCACCCCTGGGATCTCCTTCTCCACGAGAATCCTCTGCTTTGCGGGCTTGTGTCGCTGCTTGTGCGTGCCTATGTGTCTGGGTGATCCTCTCCTGCTGCCTTGACAGGAGGTGGCGAAGGACTTCTTGTTGTTGATGTTGCTGGGTCTGAAGCTCCACCCACTGCTGTTGCAAGTGTTCCATCTGACATGGCATCATAAAACCGACACGAGACTATACGTCTGGTGAAAAGCATGTGTACTTCAGGACATTCAAAACTTCATTAACCCAAACCCTCGTCAATCCTCCAAAATTGGCCTCAGGCAGTTTTGGAGGATTCTGGAGGATCGATGGTGAATGGCGAAAGTGCATGGTTTATTGAGAAGGATGCCATGCATGAAGGTCGTGGGTTAGACCTTGTGTTGTTTTTGCTTAGTCGTGTACACAAACTCTGCCCAACATTTCTTTTGTATCAACCGCACTGCTCAAGAATGCCCTTCGCGCTGCCTCAACATAATGACAGACGATTTTGAAGGATTGAGGCAGTAGACACACCTCCAAGTAGCATTTCCAGGAAATTTTGGAGGATTTTGGAGGATTAGGGGAGAATCCAGTTCCACTCCCTATTGGAAGATTTTGGAGGATTGAGGAGGGTCCCTGGCAAAAAGAGCCTAGGGGGTTAGGGTTAACATTAGGGCAGTATTTAACTTAAATTCCACACTATTGTCAGCAAATGTTTCTTACCTGACGTGCATACTGCTCTTGCAATTGCTGCTGCTGTTGTTCAAACTGACTTTGCAAAGTGACAAAACGATCACGCTGTGCTCTAGATCTGCCCTTCTGCATTTCTAATTCTTTGGGATTCCTCTCTTGCATCTCCTTCTTTAATTTCTCCTTCCGACTCTGTAGCCTTCCTCTCTCCTTTTCAGATTGTTTCTGTTCAATAATGTCAGACCATGTGGTCATAAGTGTCTCGCTGGCATCTGCCAGGGAGCCTTCCAGTGTTGCATCACTGTCCCCCGAGGTAGAATGTTTACCTTGGTCACCCCCCTCTGAAGGAGTTGAACCTAAGATCTCAGTATTCTCATCTTTGATCACCCTCATCCCTTCATTCCCATTATGGCTTCTTTGTGACTGCTTCCCAGCATCCTGAAGATTTTGATCTGCAGGTGTCTTGCTGCCCCGCCCAAGAGGTTCCTGGTGCTGCTTGGAGATGAGTTCCTCCTGTTCTTCTGTCAGGCGGGCGAGCTGCATCTGCAGAAGTTGGACCTGTCGCTCGTGGTGTTCCCGCTGTAAGATCAACTGCTGTCGATGCTGCTGCTCCAGCATCCCAAAAAGCTGCTCCCAACGCTCTTGCTGGCTCCTCTGGTCCATTCCGGGAGAGAACTGTGGCTTCCCTCGGGGTGGCCTCTCCTCCTCTGCCTCAGACTGGCTGGACACGTCAGCATCATTCTCAAATCCTTCACCGTCGCTTGACAGCAGGCCCGTCATCAGAGAGCCAAAGGGGCTTGATGCAAATGACCCGAGAGGTGGCATGATAAAAAACTTGGCCTGTGGCATCCCTGGCATTCCTCTCCCAAACAGTGAGGGTTTCGGCTCCTTGGTGAGGTCAAGTTCTTCAATATCTTGCTTATCTCCCTTACAAGAGTTACCACTCCCCTGATCACCTCCCTCTTGCCTAGGATCAGAAGACGAATGCCCATCCTTCCTGAGTCCATTTTGGATGCCAGCTTCATTTTGACTTTGTCGCTCCCGAGGTGCTTGCAATGTTGCATCTTTATTATTACCCCAATGCTGATCTGCATCTTTCCTCCTATCCATCCCATCAAGCCCAAAAGTCTTCCTCAAGTATTCAGATGAAAGTAATTCCTGATTGCCAAAGACAGGATTCTCTGGAATGCCTCCATTTGTTAACAGTTCTTCATCATTGTCCTCATCATCCGAGTCCATTCTTGTGCGCTCCCCTTTGACAGGGTGATACTGCCGTGCACTTCGGGCAGTATGTGGCTCACTCTCCCATGAGCTGGTGTCGGCATCTGTGGTGCCAATGTCATTATCGTCTACATCCTTTTCATTACTAGTATTCGCATGATGACGTGCTTGAGTCTGTGATGTGCCCAAAGACATCTTTGATCTGCAATAAAGAATCATGAGCCAATTTAGAACACTGACCAAGCAAATACCAGCCC